ATTCTGGGTCCTGTTCAGAAGTTGACAATGGAGACATTATAAAGTTGTTTTTTGGTTTGTTTTGTTTTTTACTTTTGTTGGTAGGAGTTGAAATTCTGCCATTTGTCCACCAAAGCATCCTGTCTCATACCCTGGACCCCTGGCTTGTCCCTTGCTGACTCTGCAGTTCTGTTCCCACAAAATTTCTCTGAATGGTAACTTCCTGTCCCTGGAGGCCCAACCATTGGTCTCATACTTGTCATTGACACTTCATTCTGAGCTTGTAGACAAGGTCCTGGGGTGAGTTGAGCCCTTTTGGCCCCCAACCATACTGCATGTACACCGTTCTGCCAGGGCTCTTGGGCACAGGAAGCAATGTGCTGTGTGCACAGACTTGTGCTTGGAGCAAAAATCTTTGGGGCCTCAACATCTACTCTCCTTCTTTGTACAAACCCACAGAGCTCTTTCCTATAGTAATACTCACTGCCATCAAGTTGATTCCAACTCTTAGTGAGCCTCATTGGGTTTCCAAGGCTGTAAATCTTTATGAGGGAGCTCTGGTAGCATAGTACCTAAGGCACTTGACTGTTAACCAGAATGCTGGCAGTTCAAACCCCCCAGCCACTCCTCAGAAGGAAGGTTGAGCAATCTACTTCCGTAGAGATACCACCTTGGAAACCCAAGGAGGGGTGTCTATGAGTCGGGTCCAACTCGACGGCACATAACAACAACAACAACAAATCTTTATGAAAGTAGATTGCCTCATCTTCCTCCCACAGAGCAGCTGGTAGATTTGAAGTCCCAACTTTCTGGTTAACAGTCAAATGCCTTAGGCACTATGCCACCAGAATACCCCATTTCAGCTGTACACATAAACCCATATTGTGACTACATTTTCCAGCTTCCCTTGCAGTTGGAGGAGGCCATGTGAGGAAGTTCTGACCAATGGGAGAAGGGATGTGTCCTTAGAGGGAATACCAGCCCCATTGCTGCCTGCTCCCTGATATCCTGGTACTAAAATGAGTAGCCTCTGATCAATAACCTAAAGCAAGGCCTGGAGGAGCAACATGAGAGGGCTTGGTGCCCACTCCCCCCAAAAAAAGTCATCATATCCTCCCTCACTGCTTACCTTCAGGCTGTTTACATAGAGCAATGTAAATTTTCTACCTTGCTTAAATGACAGTACTTGGTGATTTCTTTGTTTTAGCAAACTTTATCTGGTACAACATTCAAAAAACACTTCCCTCCTTCACTCTGTGTGCCTTAGGGGATGGGTACTATGCAGTGGGGGAGAGAAGAGCTGTTGTCATGGATAGATTTGCTGCTCTGGAACCATCCAAATTCATCCTCTTACAAACAATTACGGGGCTCATTGGTTCATATCTCCATCTGCTTTCTCAGTTCACAGATTAAGACAAACATTCCTCTTCCAGCCGCAGAAATCACTGAGTGAGAAAGGTGGAGGCATGGGAGTCTCCCGGAGGCAGGGAACAAGCCAGAATCCTCAGCAGAACTCTTGATCTTGCATCAGCCCCAGGCTGTCAGGCGCTGGAGCAGATGTTGGCTCTGGCAGAGATAAATGAGGTCCTGCTTCCGACATGTTCTCCACTTGGTAAGACAGGAAAACTGGAAAGTTCTCTTGTTATTCAAATTTATATCTACTGTTTAACTTGCCAACAATCACCACCATCCTGTGATAGGGGATTTTCATACTCATTTTGCAGGGTGCAGAAACTGAAACCCAGAGAGTTTTAAGAAGCCACCCAGAGTGGTTGAGCTGGGAATCTACCTTTGCTCTCACTCTGCATTGTTGCCCTACAGTCTCTCTCAGTGGGACTGTCCTGAAGCATGGATCATGCTGGGTGTCCACTACAGAGTAGATGCAGTTGTTGTTGTTATTTGCCGTCGAGTTGGATCCAACTCATAGCGACCCCTCCGTGAGTTTCTGAGGCAGTATCACTATGGAAGTAGATTGCCCAGCCTTCCTTCTGAGGAGTGGCTGGTGGGTTTGAACTGCCAGCCTTCTGGTTAGCAGCCAAGTGCCTTAGGCACTGTGCTACCAGAGCTCCTAGATACAGTTAGTGTGCTGAATACAGGTTTCAGGTGAGGAGTCTAGGAATCTGGACTGAGGGTGACCAGTTAGATAGCCCCACTCCCACATCCTGCCTGAGAATGCTGGTCTACCAGTACCCCGACAGGAAGTGAGTGGAGGGCTGCGAGATGAGCGAGCATGCTGGCTATTGGCAGGAACTGAGATGAGGGATCCATAAGCCCAGGCTTGCTCCTGGGTAGCAGGTAAACACATAGTTACTCATCCTGCAACAGAACCTGGCCTGACCAAATTACCCTCCTCTTCCTCCTCCCTCAGATGTCCCTCTTCTCTGGGCCTGCAGTTCTTCTTTATAGATGCAAAAAGGCCAAGTTAATGCACCTGGAAATAAATGCCACACTTCACCACAGCATGATTGGACACAGAAGGTACATCCAGCCAGGGCCAAGAGCAGAGGCCACAAGGCCAAGTTCTTCGCCCATGACTAGGCCCAGTCAGGATGGGATGTCCCACTTTCTGATTACCTGTGCTGCAACTGGACACACACAAAATCTCAGAGGCTCCCAGGGTGCACCAAACAGATAGACAGATGATTCTGTCAGTTCATTCCCAAGACAGCTGAATAATGGTCTCCACCTTCCAAGACCAGTAATCCCTCTGAGGACCTCTCCACTGAAAATCCATAGGTGCTCCACCATCTGCTCCCAGATGGCCAGGGCCTCACCAAGAAATACTTGCCTGATTTGCATCCAGCTCCTTTAAAAGAGGGACTCCCACAGCATAGATTCTTGGGTCTTTGGGAAAGGATCACCTCTAAAAAGTTCCAGCCTCTCACTCACATAGGTGGTTGAATGAGGGCCTTCTGACATCAGCTGTGTTGCTGGTCAGCTGTGCCCTGGCCAATCTCCACCTCACTTCCGGCCATTCCCTCCAAAGTAAACTGCCTCTGTCTGGCTTCTGCTGCCCCTACCCCTCCCAATATGCAGGGGATATACGGGTGGGTCTAAGCCTCAATTAGGAGCCCACACATCAGAGGCTCCAAGAATTATGGGAAGTTAAGGAGGCTTTGTCTCCCCAGAACTCAGAGGAGATGGGGAGGAGATGGTAGTATAGTGCATAAGGCATTTGACTGCTAATCAGAAGATTGGTGATTCAAACCCAACAGCCACTCCATGGAAGGAAGACTGGGCAATCTACTTCCATAAAGATTTACCACCTCAGAAACCCAAAAGGCATCACTATAGGTCATAATGGACTCGATGGCAGTGAGTTTGGTCTTGGTTTTTAGCTCTCTCATGGTGCAATCATGCTACCATGCCAGTAGGGAAAATACTCACTTCCTAAAGGGAGCTCTGGTAGCATAGTGGCTAAGGCACTTGACTGCTAACCAGAAGGCTGGCGGTTCAAACCCACCAGCCACTCCTCGGAAGGAAGGTTGGGCAATCCTACTTCCGTAGTGATACTGCCTCGGAAACCCAAGGAGGGGTCGCTATGAGTCAGGGCTGACTCGACGGCACATAACAACAACAACAACAAAGGAAGTTCAGTTGGACATGAGCCTGCCCCAGCCTGGAGCTTCCTCTCCTTTCTCCATAAACCCAAATCCACCGCTGTCCCAGCATCAGCTCTAAGAAACCACCTCAGACCAGGCCAGTCTCACAGGGGTCACCTACTCCTGGGACTCCTGCTGAAGACACTTACCTGGCACTGTCTGCTCACCATCCAGTCAATCAGGCATCTGCTGCTTATTCCATGTGTGAGATGAATGCCAGTCACTGGGACAGACCTCCAGCACTCAGAATGAATGAAAACCCATGGAGGTGAGACTCCTTGGGAACCTGCCTGGCTGGAACAAGGTAAATAAACTCCCAGATATCATGGGATGTGAAACTAGGTCCCTGGACTCTAAAATGTAGGAACAAGGATTCAGCTCCCAGAATCCTCCCCACTTCCGGGCAGAGCAAAGGCAAAAAGCACATACAGAAAGCTAGTCAGTTTTTTTTTTTTTTCTTTTTATTGGCAAAGTAAATATATTTTTATGAAGGACCAAAGAAAATATACAGAATTGTAACATATATACATCACCTTTATAGATTTTTTTATTTCAAATTTACACAAATGTTGATGTTATTAAAAGATACTTTATGCATATGCATCTATGTACAGTTTATTTACATACATTCATAGGATGTGAAATAAACTAGTCCAAATAAGCTAGTTTATTTGATATTAATTTCTAGACCAAGTAAGGAATGCATTTCTAAATCAGGATTGGGAGGCTCTACCTAGCTCCTTCACACAAAATGCAGCCTGCCCCCTCTCCTCCCGGAAGTGACCAAGAGGCTGTGTTCCCTGTCTGGGAACCTCCGGAGGGGATGAGCCACTCAGCACAGACTCCTGACCAAGCCTGTTCTGAGGGAGCATGTGTCTGTATGTTCTGCACATTAAATTCAAGCAATTGCACTGACCAGCGCCGGCGCATCCCCTACCACCCTGGCCATCAGCCATCGGCCCTGCTGATCAGGCTGGGCCAGGCACCTTGGACATGGCTGCCCTCACAGCATTGTGAGTTGGACTTTTGGCCTACTTCCTTCTTCCCAGCATGGCTCCCTCTGGGAATTGAATGTTTCAAAACTGAACATTTCTTCTCCCCCAGCAATAGAGTGCTGGCCTTGGCCCAGGCAGGGAGCCCAGTGGAAGAAGGGCCAGACCCTCGAAGCCTTGCCTCGGCTGCTGGCAGCAGAGGCCCAGGCGCTCAGAGGCCTGGTCCAGTGCGCCTCCAAGCTTGGCACCCGTGAAGGCCCCAGAACGGCGGCCGATGGGGCTCTGGGTCCACTGCCAGATGACCGGATCCCCCTGCACTTCCCGATTTCGGCAACGGGGTGGTACCGTTGTCGCATCCCTCGGAAGGAGACAAATAAATTATTGCTATAAAACACCCGGGTGGCAGCAGAGCTGCAGCGCAGCTGGTTCAGTTCGCGGCTCGCCCTGCGCGACTGCTGCGCGGGAAGCGGTGCACTTTGATGTGCTTGGAGAGGTGGTCGCTGCGGGCGAACTTCTTCTCGCACACCGGGCACTGGTACGGCTTCACGCCCGAGTGCGAGCGCCGGTGCCGCGACAGCTCGTCAGACCGCGAGAACCTGCGGGACACTGCGCTCAGCAAGGCGGCTGGGGGCTTCCACCCCTCCGACCCCGAAGTCCGACCAGACCCGCGGCACGCAAGGTACTGTGGGGTCGGTAGACCCGCGGCTCAGCCGCCTGTATGGTGCAGCCAGGCCAGTGCCCACTGATGAAATCATTTCCAAGGTGGTAAAAATGTGAAATACAAGGTTTATGTTGGCAAGGCCAGAGAGCCTAGGACTTGTTCTCTGACAACGGGGCTCTGAGCACAGGGGTGTGTTCAATCACTCTGCATTTCCTCACCCTTTTGCCTCTTCCCCATCCCCACTCCCCAGAACTGGTACTTCTGAAGAAGCCTATCCCTAAAGGGAAATAGAGGATCAGGGAGAAGATCCATCCCCCAGCAAGGCCGAGTTCCGGTCTCCTCTCTTGCTTCCAAAAGAATCTTCACACTTGAGCCCCACCCTCACCCCACTCTCAGACCCTGGTTTCCAGGCAGCTGGGCCCTCTAAGATGCCCTCAAGCACACTCCAATAGAGAGGTACATAAACCAATTCAGATGGTGCCCATGACATCTCTCTTTGCTTCTGCCTGCCTGGGAACAAATGCTCCTGGGCCTGGAGAGGTGCTCCTGTGGGCGCTAAGAGTCAGATGGGGCCAAGGGATTCAGATTGCTTTCCACCAACTTCAGGGAGTTGAGGATTTCCCCACCCCATGATCTGGTCCTGACAGGGAGCGCCTGTCTCCCTACACACACACACACACACACACACACACACCTGCTATGCTTTGACCTACATGGACCTTTCCTAGGTCCTTCTAACCACAGGACATTTCCAAATACCATCCCCCCATCTGAAATGCTCTTCCCACCCCTCTTGTTCCCTGCCCTAACTCATTCTTTAGAGCTTATCTCAAATGTCACTTCTTCAAGAAATCCCACCACAATGATACCTCCACTCTAGGTTCCCACAGCAGCACTATGCACCTTTCTCTCTTTCCTTGCCAACTTGTGCCATTTTACATTAGTTTGTGCAACTTTTTGATGAACAGTATCTCCTACCAGACCATCAATTCCACAAGGGAGAACCACTGTGTCCAGTTCCCTAAGTCTCCAAGGACCAGCCAATGCCTCGTACACAGTATGTGTTCTGTGAGTGTTTGAGTGAAAGAGTGAGTAGACCCAGCCAGTACCCACAGGAGGAGAGAGAGCAGTCACTGGAGTTGCCCTCTTCACACACACACACACACACACACACCCTGTTCCAGGAATCCAAGGCCACAAGGCAAGGGGTAGACAGAAGTCCTGGCCCTACTGATGGGTAGGGGCTGGTGGCACCCCCTAGCCTGCCATTGTGCATAGAGGCCTTGCCATGCCTCCCACACACACACCCAGCTTAATGTGAGCAGGGAGGACCCAGTAATAGAAGGTTCAGGCAGGTGCAAGCAAGGGCCCAAAGACCAGACTGGGAGCCTGGCCTGGATGCAGTGAGGAGAAATGCCTCAGTCTCCATCCCACTGTCCCCTGCTGAGGGCCCTAGCCTTTCTCTCAGAGAGGGGATGAAGTTTCTGGACTTGGAGGCAAGAGTTTGACTCAATGTTGGTCAGTGCCTGGCATGGAGTCAGTGCTTTAAGCATATTCTTCGAATAAATGAGACCCAACAGGTCCATTTGTGAGATTAGGAAACTGTAGCCCAGAGTAACGAGGGCCTGGATCCAGGCTCACCTAGTGAAACAGAGCAGCTGAGACAGTAACACAGGACTCACAGCAGCCCCCTGCTATGCCTCAGGGCTTAGATCACCAATGAGCAGTTGCCTTTCTGGCCTTCCCTGTGGTGTGAGCCCCTGATACCCATGAGTGTGAGGAAATGGAACATTATGCCCTGGCAGTCAGCCCAGGGCAAGGAAGCAGAAAGTGAGGGGAGAAATGCCTTGGCAGTTCTGGAGCCCTCCCAGCACCAGGCCTTGGGGTCACCTGGCACCTTCCCGGCCAGGTAGCCAAGATTAGCAAATCTGGTTGCCAAAACCATGGCAAGGACTCAGAAATCAGGGGACCTACCTGGGATCATGCAGCCAGCAGAGGGCTCAGCTTCTGGCCTTGGGACTATAATCCCTCCAGGGTCCTCACCTAGAGTCCCCCCACCGCTATGGAGCCCTCTATGCTCCTGAGCAAACCATCAAACTACCTTGGACTACAGTAACCTTGTCCACAAAATAAAGACCTAGGGAGCCCTACCTGCCCTCTAGGACTTGTCTCAGAGGCAAAGGCAGACACAGAGAGCCATAGCAGGCCCCATAATCCTGGGAAGGACAGGCAACTGAGGGAGAGCCAGGCCAGAGGACAAGCTATCCTCATTTCCAATCCTCTCTTCCCACTGGATGGCATGTCCTGTGACCTGAGAGATATGCCCTAGGAAACAGAGCACTAAGAAGACCTCTGCCTCACACCTGATATCACATTGTCACAAAGAGGTTAGGGAAGACAAAGTGAGGGAGAAGCGGGAGCAGGTAGTTAAAAGGCAGTTTCTGGAGTGAAGGCAGTAAACTCTGACCTCCTACTGACCACGTGGCCTGGGCAAGTCACTAAACTCTCTGAGCCTCAACATTCCCACCTGAAAATGGGGAGAATAATAGACCTACATCACAGGATTATAAGGATTATAAAAGCTAAAGAGTGAAGTATTTAGAAAAGTACTTGACACATAGAATTATTCACTGACTGTAAACTCGGATTATCTGCCAAAAGTTAGCACAGAGCCTGGTACCTGGTGACGTACTGGTGAGTGTGGGCATCACCATGACTCTCGATGATCATTGCTGGTTTGCAGCCCAGGATGCTACATTACCTGAGCAGCTCAGATGCCAGCACCTCACAGAGCACCTTTTGTGTGACGTGCAAGCGCCCCTTCCTTGAGACCCTACTCTGCCATCAGCCAGAGAGCCATTATTACATATACTACAGCCCCAAGGACTATTATGTGGATGCCGCCACTAGGGTTTTGCTGTGTACAACCCATCCAGCCACACTTGATGGCTCACCTCCTCACATGGGGGCAGCAATAACACAGGGGCAGAAGACAGATGTCAGAGTTTGAGTCCTGTCCCTGTCACTCCCTGCTCTGTGGGCTCAGGCCTACAATTCCCTTTCCTGGGCCCCCTCTGTCAACTCTCAACAATACTACCTACCACACAGGACTATTGATTGTTACTAATTATTAGTATTTGCTGTGATCATAGGGGATTCTTTTTGGACAAAGCAGCCTAGCTCCTCCAGAACAGCACGTTCCGCTGCAGGGAACAAAGGAGGCCTATGTCTGAGTGTGAAGCAAGGGAACTTCTAGGAAGGCAGGCACACAGCCACTTCCCAGATGGTGAGATCACATTGATGTCTGCCCACCATGGGTGCCAGAATCAGATCACAGGAAAGAAAGGGCAGGGCATACTAGCTCTAGACCCACAGAGAAGGAAGTGGGGGCTGATGACCTGGGCAAGTGACAACTGTGGGGGAAGGTGGGGAGGCATGTATCACTCAAAAGGGTGTAAAGGGGGGGGGGGCTTGTGGAGAGTTTGTTCTGTGAGCCCAGGGTACAGCACCAGGACAAAGCCAGCCTGGTAAAAGGAAAGGCACATCACTCACCAGGGCCACCCATGAAAAGAAGGGCCTAGAAAGGTAGAGAGCTCTCCTTGGAGCTCTTGGGGGGCAAAGGAACACAAAGGGGTGCTGCCCTGACATTTAGGCCCAGCTGCAGTGGAGGTGAAGGTCTTTCCATATCCACACCAAAGTGAGCCACCTCCACAGGTGGGAAAGGAAGCTGGAGAGAACCTTGTGTCCAGGGGAGAACTCACCAGCTGCTCTGTGCCTCCACTTCCTCCTCTTAACATAGGCAACAGTGCTGCCTCACAGACTAATTTGGGGAATTAAATGAGTCCATGTATGTAGTGTGTTCCAAATAGTGCCAAGCACATGTAAGAAGCCATTGTTATCATCAGTTATCATCTTCTTCAATGGCCCATAAGCACAACCCCAGGCAGTTCGTTACAGAGAGAAGACAGAGCCAGCCAGCATACCAGGCACAAATGGAAAGCCACAGACCTGGGGTTCCAGGTGGGGGAGGCCTGAAGTAGTGTCTGCCACTTGTGGACATAAGCAGGGCTGTGCATCCCACTTGTGCCTGGCCCCAGAACCATGTCCCTGTGGATAGGAGACTTCTGTGTCTGGGTTTCCACCTATAAAAAAGAGATGGGTGCCTGTACTGCACGAGGTTGCTGTGAGTTATGTGATGAGCCAGTGTGTTGTGGTGTGTGCAGAAAAAGGCTGAGGCCATCACAAGTGCAGTGGAAGCATCACCACTACAGCATCACCAGGGAGAGTAGCCCAGACAGGGCACGGAGGCAGAGACTGAGGCTGATATGGCTCAGTCCCATTAGGAAGGCGCAGAGGCAGAAGAGCAGATTGTATAGATCTTTGAGGCCAGATGAGGAGTTTGGATATGAATTTATGTGTTCTCTAGCCAGAGCAGCCTCATAAGGTAGTGAGTTCCCCATGGCAGAAGGTGTGCAAGCAAGAGTAAGGATGAGTGGAGTGGATTCAGATCTGAGGAAGTGTGAACAGTGCCTAATATACAGTAAGTTCTCAGGAAGTATGGCCTCTTATCATTCAGCAGCATTGCTTCTCCTGTCCTCCCACTTGACGGCACCTCAAAGACCCCTCCTTCCACCTGCTGAAAAGCTGCTGAAGGTTATGGCCATATTTAAGGAGCATACATGTCTTGAATACTTCCTAAGGGTTCAGGGCTGAAGGCCAACCAGGGATACTCCAACTCCCAATCTTTAGAAAAACACCTCTTCCCAAGAGACAGGCACCATGATGGGACTCACCAAGGCCAACTCAGATCCAGGAGGACTCTGGGAGAAGGTTGAGATGCCCTGCAGGAGCCCTAGGAAGCTGATGGCAGGAGTAGTGGCCTAGGGTGTCTCTGCAGTGATCTCACCAGGCTCTGCACCCATGCACCCTCCTTGCCCAATGGGTCCTAAGCAAGACAACCTTTCTGAGGGCTTGGAAGAGTCAGACCTGAAACTCCATCCATACATCCTCACTCTTACTTGCACACTTTCTGCTATGGGGAATTCATTACCTCCTGAAGCCCCTGGTGTGGTGCTGAGGGTTCTGTCTGCTCTCTGGCTCTGGGATAGCCCTAAAAACAGCAGGCTCTCCTCCTCACTGGGAGGCTGAACCTGGATGATAAAGCCGGTAAGGGTGGGCAGCCTGGGTCAAGGGCCACAACCTTCTTTCCTGTGACCAGTAGGTGTTCCCAGCCTCACCCTGACCACTAGCTGATGGTCATACTGTCAAGTGGCAATGCCTTGCAGGTCAGCCCTGCCATATGAGAGTCCAGGGGCAGATACTCTGGAAGGAAGCTTAGAGCCAGCTACCCAGACCTCTCCATCAGCCCCTATCATGTCCCACCAAAAGAGGAGACCATATTCAGGGTCTCTATAGACTGGAGTACACACATCACCTGAGGTAGGGACCTACCCACAAGAAGCTGAACAGAAAACCCTCCAAGTCCCCTCCCAGACACTGACTGACATTGTATGAGTAGTGGGAAAAGAGTTCCCCTTCACACCCACTCTGGGCTGTGGTTGGGTAGGTGGATCTCAAGGCAGCCCCTGAGGGATGGAGGCAGGTTCTCTGTTTTATAGATGAGGAAACTGAGTGTCCACCGGGGGACACTGCAAGCTAGTGGCCAACCTGAGGTTGATGCTCCTAACCTCTGCTCTCACTGGCCCTCAGCAGCCCTCAGCAGCATCCAGTGCCAAGATGTCATGATGCTATAAGCCAGGGAACCTACCCAAGGCTACACTTAACCCACTGCCATTGAGTCGATTCTGACTCACAGTGACCCTACAGGACAGAGAAGAAATGCCCTATAGGGTTTCCAAGGCTGTAAATCATTAAGGAAGCAGAGACTGCCTCATCTTTCTACCATGGAGTGATTAGCAACCTTTTGGTTAGCAGCCAAATGCTTTAACCACTGCACCATCAGAGCTCCTTAAGCATACAATTAAGGGTGGGAAAAGTCAAGTCCTACCACCCCTCCCCTGGGCCCCAGATTCCCAGATCCTAGATGAATGCTGTCCCCTCCTTGGACATGCCTTCCCAGGCCACTCTTCCCTTTAGGAGCCCCTGGCCCATGCCTCCATCATATCACCCTATGTCTGAAAGCATTTAATTAAGCATGTAGCTAGTTAACTCCCCAGTGGAATATAAGTTTCATGAAGGTAGGTTCTTGGCCTTAGTCACTACCATCTCCTAAGGACTAGGACTGGGCTTTACACCAGCACATACTGAATAAAAGGACCGTCGACTCTCCTCAGAGGCAAGTATAGGGGAAGGGAGTTCAGGAGTCTGAAAGGTCTCCCAAGTGTCTTCCCCAGTCCAACCCTCCAGGAAGAGTAGACTGACTCCTCCTTAAGGAGGAAGAGGGGATAGGGGCAGGTAGAGGCCAGAGGCGCCCAGGTCTCTTGGCTCCTGACCTGCCACAACCCTGACCACCCAAGACTGCCCACCATCACCTCACCTGCGTCTCCCAAGCAACACTGCAGAGCATTTGCCACCACAGCCACCTACCTGCTTGGTACACAGGCACTAAGGCTCAGAGGGGCTGGGGCTCAGGCTCCCACCGAAGCCTGCCAGGTCTCCCTGCATGGACAGCCTTCAGGTGGTGGTAAAACTAATGGTCCCTTGCTCAGAAGGGACCTCATATCATGCAGAACAGTGGACAAAGTCCTTTCCCTAATCAGCTTGGTGCTCAGACAGAAAGAAACTGCTAGTGTCACACTGGACACTCTACTCACAGCATCCTTCTCCCTGCCTACCCTCAACCAGCAAAGAATCCTGTGGTGAGTACCCCTGCTCCAGGTACCTCTTCTGGGCTCTCAGACAAGAGCATTTTGGTCAAAGAAACAAAAGCAGCAAATCTCTACTTCATGTGTATTTCTGCCACCACAGACACACATACAAGACTGCTGTCCACAAAGACACCATACACAAGTGCATGGGTGTGCGTGTATATATACAGCATACAGGGACATACATGAACTACATGTATGAGTACACAGATGAATAGGCCCTCTCCCCACCTTCTCTCTGTCTCTCTCTCTCTCTCTCTCACACACACACACACACATACTCACGCACACACATACTCACACACACAATCACACATGGTGTACCTGCAGCAATAACTGAAGCAGCAAAGCCCAGGAATGTGTCAGCAGCATATGCTGCTCTCCTGGGCAGAAATGCCTGCATATGGGCATCCCAAACTAGGGAGTGCTTTCTGGCGTACCCAAGCATGGGAACTCCTGGCAGGCCACCTGTGATCCAAGAAACGGCAGATACACCCTCCAGAAGAGAGAAGGGTGACCCATGGAGTCCTATCTGGCTCTGCCCTGGAATCTAAGTAGAGCTGAAGTTGGTTTTCCCTTCTGAACAGTACAGAGTAGAGGAGCTTTGAAAGATACTTCCACCTTCAAGACAATGTTGCTGCCAGCTTACCCTTCTTGTTTCTCAGCCCTTACAACTTCCCAAACACACTGAGAAGGCCTGGGGTTGGATAGGAGGGAATGAGGACAGGGCAAAGACTCAAACCTGGGCCACCCACATGTCCCAGAAACATCTATGGAGTAAAGCTGGTCCCTCTGGCTGGAAAAGCAGCATGTCCGGGCTGTGGCCTCTCTAATCCAACCCCGAGTTCAAATTCCATTTACAATACTGTGTAACCCTGGGCAAGTAACTTCATCAGCCTGAACTTTGGTCTCTTCAGCTGTCAAATGGGAGTAATGTAGCACTTACCCTTGTGGGATGTTGTGAGGGTCAGAAGAGGCACAAAGAAATTGTCTGGTACACAGCCTATGGTTAGTGCCCATCTGCTATGGCCTAGTCACCCAGCCCTTGCCCTCATCCAATCAGCTCCATTTCTTGGCTGCTGAATCCAGCAGGCATCACAAGCCTCAGCAAGTCTTATCTGGTCATTATGAAACTGGAAACCAGTTGGTTTCCGGCTTTAAGAATCAGGAAAGAACCTCTGGGAAGCTGTGCCAAGCTCTAGTCCTGTCTACCTGCCCACCTGCCCACTTGCCCCCTCCCTTCTCCACTCCCTGATTAGCCCCTTATCTAACACTGGAGGACATGGCATTCACTGAAACCCCAGTAAGCAGATATGAGTTGGGCCTCATTCCCGCCCCAGCTCCGCCATACTGACCTCCAGCCGCAGCCCGGCCAGGTGCAGGCAAAGGGCTTCTCGCCCGTGTGCCGGCGCAGATGGGCCTTGAGGTGGCTGCTTTTGGTATACATCTTGCTGCAGCCTGGAAATGTACATTTGTGCATCTTGATGAGTTCTGCCGAAGGGTTCTTGGGGAACTTCTGGCTCACAAGGAGGCCCGCAGGACTCGCTCCCAGGGGTCCGGACCCAATGGGCTTGGCGGCAATTGGCACAGGGGCAATGCGTACAAACTTGGAGGGCAGGTTCAAATTGGAAGACGGTACCACCTGGGGCACAAGTGCAAAGGTCTGCCCCTGGATATTGACCAGGAGCTGGGCCACCTTGACACTCTCTGGGGGCTGCACAGGGGAGGCTGGCCCTGTGCCTGTCTCCTGCTTGATTGGCATTGGCTGGATCTGCAACACCACTGGAATGGGGCCCTCAGATACTAGCCCCCCACTGGGGCTGTGGGTGCTGCTAGCACTGGGGCCACTGGGTGGAGGGGTACAGCACTCCTTCCCATCAGACCCAGGAAGGAGGTGGCTTCTAGGTGGCCCAGCCAAGAGCTGGCTACAGTCCTCAAAGTCCTTGCTGCTGCCTTCTGGTGCCTCCTTGACCCTCGGCTCCATGTTCTCCTCCAGGAACTCTTCTATCTCCTCCAGGGTAGGCTGGAAGGGCCTCGGGACGTTATCAGGGTCACTTGCAGAAAACTCAGAGAAGCAGAAATGCTCCCCCTTTACAGGTGCTGGTGCCCTCCGCCAGGCCCCCCAGGCCATGGGGCCACTGCTGACCCCAATACTGCCACTGCCACCCAGTGTGGCCCGGGACAGCAGGAAGTCCAAGATGCTGTCCTGGCCCTTGGTACCCACATTGCCACTGTAGCAGGAACAGAGGTTTTGGGAGTCGGGGCTGGCACAGGAGCAAAAGCTGGAGGAGTCACTGTCATCTTCCGAGAGTGGAGAAGGCAACATGTGGTATGCCCGCTGGCTGGCTAGCCGGTCACCCAGATAACCAGCTGGGCATTTTGGTGACGAGAAGTTCTCGTCCACTGGAAGCAAGTGGTCCACCATGCTGGCCTGGCCGTGCCGGGTGGCGGCTGCAGAGAGGGGACAAGGGAGGCTAAGTTAGGAGGAAGACACCTTTACCTGCCACTTCACAGACTGCGGACCCCATCCTCGGCTGTCTGGGTTGGCTCCTGTGAGCCAGCCCACAGCTGCACATTGCCAAATGTCTGGATTCTGCCACTGTCCATCCCATGGGAGGTCTGTGTCTGCAAGAGCATTTTCCAAAATTGCACCACCTGTTTGCAAAAGAGCCCTCTCCAAGCCCATTGCACAACCCAGGGTACTTTTGGTTTCAAACAGATTTTCCAGAATGATCTTGGAAAAAAAGAGTGTGAGTATTAGTGAATGACTGAGTTTGAGTATGTGAGAAAAGGTGAGTATGTTAGGAGCTCTATGGACCCCGGAGCAGCCAAGGATAGAGAATCATCCTAGAGTCAACCCATAGCCAAGTTGAATAGAGCTGTTGCATTTCTAAAGGCATTTAACATCTGAGTCATTCCCTTTGAGTCACTGAGGAGTTAGAATAGCCATTTGCCCTCAGGTGCCAGCAACACAGAGTTGATGGTGCTTGGGTAGAGTTGCCAATTAAATTGTAATTTCAGATCAAAATTAATTTTCAAATTTAATTTAAATATATTTAATTATATTAAAATCATTTTATCTGAAATTCAAATTTAACTGTGTGGCCTGTATTTTAACCTGGCAACTCTAGTTTGAAGGTAAAAAAAAAAAAAAAAATCACAACCAATGAGCACCTGCCTTCTCAGACTCCAAATAACGCCTGAGGCCCTCAGAAGCTCACTTGCCCCAGTTCTTATGTTCCTTTGAGCCTCAGATGCCTCCTAGGTTAAACAGGAGAGAAGAGGAAAAGGCTTGAGAAAGATGCTCTCAACCTGTAGGCTGCTCTGCCCTCTGATGCTTCACTGCCATGGTCCCACAGCGCCATGAACTCACAGGTAGACATTTGGTAGACACGGCACTCGCACACATACACCTCATTTGACTTCACAACAGCCAGGGGTAGGAGGTAATATGCCCTGCACCCTATGGGTGCCGCTGATCACTCACCACCTTGGAAGGTTTGCCAACCTCTGACTCCCTCTAGATAATGCGTGCCATGAAGGTAGGCTGGCCACTGGGTCCACTGCAGCCCAGAGCCCGTGAGGGCTGAGAGAAGTCTGAGAGGGAGCAGAGTGGAAGGCCGCATGCTCTGAGCTGAAGGCCGCACTAGGTCTCGTGTCCAAGAAGAGTCAACAGTGTCCGGCCCTGACAGGGCCACCTCTGTGGACCTTTGTCCCCACCCAGAACCATGGCTGCTGTTTATTGCAGTTGGGGAAAGAGGATGTTCTGCATCTGGAAGAGATCCTCTGTTGCTTGGCATCCCTCTACACTTACCCCATTATGTCTCAGGACCACACCAGGCCTGACACCCAGCACTCCCCAACTGTCAAGAGGCTGGGCCTCAGACAGGGTCCAACCAGAGTGGAGCATCAGAAACTGTGACCTTGGGCAAATCCTTGCACCCCTCAAAGCCTCAGTTTCCTTATCTGTATCATGCCTAAGTGACGTCTATGCCCCTCTCCTGCTTTGGGACCTCAGGATCTCTGACCTCAGCTCCCACCTCATTCATGAAGCTTCAAGAAGCTCCATGAAATGAAGAAAGAAAGAGGCCCTTGGCATGTCTGCACAGGAAAGGAGGGCAATTTTGCCAGGAGGACATTTTGCTTTTGGTTTCCAAATACTAGGTATTAAAATACACTCTCTGCACCAAATGAGGTGCTGGAGAGGACTTAAAGAACCAGGTTATATGAAAGAGCAATGAGGTGCAAAGCCCCCACCACTCCCTCAAGGTGCACACACACCCTCTCTGTGCCTCCATCTTGTTCTGTTAAATGGGGACACTGCAGACAGTGCCTGATCCCAGATGCTGTAAGAGTCCCATGAGATAACCATGCTAGGCCGACCTCATAAGCAAGTACTTAGTTAAAACCAGCTACTACCACCTCTACAATTAGCCTTCAATAGGGGACACATGGTCTTTCTAGTCCTCTGCTGTGATGTGAATAATCAGGGGGACTCCAGCTCCCTAGAATCTGAGAATAGACCATGACTGGTGGCAAGGGGCCAAACCAAAAAACCAAACTCACTGTTGTAAAGTCGATTCTGACACTTAGAGACCCCTCCTTTGGTTTTCGAGGCAGTATTTCTATGGAAGTAGGTTGCCCAATCTTCCTTCTGAGGAGTGGCTGGTAGGTTTGAACCGCCACGCCAGCCTTCTGGTTAGCAGTCAAATGCCTTAGGCACTATGCCACCAAAGCTCCCTGGGACAAGGGGCAGAATGGGGCTATTTCCCTCCCTCTGCGAAAGGAAGATGAGGCAATCTACTTCCGTAATGATACTGCCTCAGAAACCCAAGGAGGGGTCGCTGTGAGTCAGGTCCCACTTGACGGGGACAACAATAACAATAAGAATAACAACAACAACACTTACAACCCTTCCCTACAATGTGATCACTGTTGTTGTTATGTGCAGTTGAGTTGGCCCCGACTCATAGCAACCCCTCCTTGGGTTTCCGAGGCAGTATCACTATGGAAGTAGATTGCCCAACCTTCCTTCCCAGGAGCGGCTGATGGGTCTGAACTGCCAGCCTTCTGGTTAGCAGTCAAGTGCCTTAGGCACTATGCTACCAGAGCTCCTATGTGATCACTATTCCATGATATGTGACGATATTAAGGACTTACTATCTTCAAATGTGATAATGGTAGTGTGGAGGTAAGGAGCTCTTACCTTTTAGAGCTACAAACTGAGATTTTTACAGATGAAATTATATAAAAAGAAATATTGGGTAAAATAAATAAGTACAGTGGGGGTAGGAGGAAAAGATCTCCAATGCCCCCCCCCCAAGGAGAGGTAGCCCAAGCTCCTCACAGGGTCATTGGCTGAGGCCTCCTCCACATTTCCACAGATGTCATCTCACTGTATATCAATCTCACAAGCTCCATCCTGGCTCAGGCCACTGCCTGGGTTGTTCCTTCTGCAGAGATTGCCCCACTCTACATGAGGGCTCCTTATTTAGATCTTGACTCAGAAGTCACCCATTTTAGGAGGCCCTCCCTGACCACCCTGTTACATCATCCCATATTATATTCTTCCTAGCAGTTGGCACCTTGGTAAACTATCTTGGTTATGTGTTTGCGTACTTTGTTTCCTGTCCTGTCTACCCCACCCCCACCCAGATCACGAATAGAGTCTAAAGCAGCGCCTGGCAAGAAGCGCCTGGCAAGTATTTGCTGCGGAGGAGAGGGAATGGGGAGAGGGAGTGGGATAGAAAGACGGCTAGCTCCTTCATCAGTCTCTACACAGGGCTGAGTGGCCCAGGTGGAGCGCTGAAGCACTAACAGCCAAGATAGGGTTCCCGGGACTGCTCAGGAGTGCCTACCGAAAAGCGAGGGCGCCCCAGGGCTGTGAGCCGGCTCTGGGCCCTAAAAAAACAGCAGCACGTGGCGCGGCCAGAGGCACAAGCTGCGTGCAGGGGGAGGGGACGCGCTGTTCCGGGCACGGTCCCCAGCCCGCCGCTGGACTCCGCCCCCTCCCCCGGCCGGGCCAGGCCTGCTGTTTATCCTCCCGGGGACACAGCGGCTGCAGGAACAACATGTAATTGATAACAAGCCGAGAGCTGGCCAAGGGCTGGCCATTGGGTCAGCGTGCAAATCACGGGGGGTGACGGGCGGGGCCGCCTTTCAAAATAAGAGTCTCAGCTCCCCAAGCTTCCCTCAGGCCCCAAAGTCACCAAGTGCCAGAGTCCTCGCACCTGTGGGGTGGCGCGGGCACTCGGAAGGCATTCGGCCCGCGGGGGAGGAGGCTTGAGAGGCTCGAACATTTTGGGATTTTTGTGACCTTCTGGGGAATGGTCCAAGAAATAGCCCCCTCTGTGTCCTACGGGGGCCCAGTGAGGAACACCACAGTAGGGAGGGAAGAAGGAAGCCTGAGGGCCATGGAGTATGGGAGGGGGGTGGCCTCTCGTCTCCCTTGGCCGCTGCCACCCCTCGGCCACCTTTCTACCAATGTCGGATCTAAGGGGGTGGAAGACTGCGCGTGAGGTAGAAGTATGAGATGTGGGTGAACGGTGCGGGTGTGCCCGAGTGGTGTGTGTGCAAATGGTCGTGAGTTTCTGTTACAACCATTCTGTGACTGTGCGTGTGCGGGGCGTTATGTGCGGTGGCCAGTGTAATGTACAAGAGAGTGTCCGAGATGTGGTCGCTCGTGGAGCGGGACAGAGGGTGCCGACGCCTGAGTGGAAACATGCATGGGAAAGGAAGGCGCAGGGAGCAGACTCTGACGTTCTCCGTGGAGCCCTAAAGCTCTGCCCGCTGCGCACCAAGCCCTCGGCCCGTGACCTAGCAGGCCACTGCTGCGATGACCAGCAATAACCCCTCCGCCACGGGTCCATTCGCGCCCTCTCCCTCACCCCAACCCCGCCACGCCCGGCCTGGTGCCCGCCATATGGGAGGGCTGCTCCGCAAGGCGCACCCGGACAAACTGAGCCCGGCACGAAGGCGGAGGCCCAGACCTGGGTGTGTAATGTGCCAGTAGTGAAGCCATCGACTTATCCCACTCCCTGCGCCCGACCCCTGGAAGCTCAACCAGCTCCTCAGACATGGCCTCGGACACTCGCCCAGAGCTCCGGCAGCGGCTGCGCGGGTTCCTGGCCACGCGTCCAGAGGGCAGCCAGCGCTCGCCTCGCGTCCAGGCCTGACCCGTGGGCACCCGACGCCGCGTCCACACGGCAGTCCGGCCCACTGCGCTCTCTCCCACCTGAACTTCGCGCACGCCCGGCCGGCGGCCAGGCCCCCGGCAATCCTGCAGCACTGGCCGCGCTGGACTGGGTGGCCTCGGCGACTCGGCCTCCTTGTTCGGCGGCAGCAGCGGGCGGTGCCGGGGATCCTGAGCTTGCTTGTTCGCCCGCTGGCCGGCTGATCGCTGCCGCGGGAGCTCTCACCCGCCGG